TTGTTTCACAGTCGGCGTCACATGGTGGCGCACCTTGCTCCCAGGTGAAGGCATGGGCTATGGCCCACAAGGGCAAGGCGACGTCCGCCGTCGACTTCAACCCGGAGGACCCTCCCCTCCTCGGCGTACAGCAATCCCTCCATCCAAAGCCGTCTCACCGAGTACACAACAGCGGCCAAGGCGGTCCATGGGCCGGAGTACGATCCGAGCACCCAGGATTTCGAAGGTGACCTTGTCATGAGGGTGGGAGGAGGCAAGAAGCATGGCAGGTACTGGCTTGGCGACAGCGTCGTCGACACGGCCACTACCCCCACTCTCTCCCAGATCCGAGCAAGCGACACGGGCCAGAGGCCGCCCATACGCCCACGGCCGACCAGTACACAGCACACCATGCAGACTTTGCAGGTTATTACTCTTTTATTCGTTGTTCATTGTTTCTTACATACCTTTGACTTCCATTGTAACAGTGGGGTGAAATTTTGTAGGCCGAGCTTGAAGAAGAGAGGAGGCAGAGAATAGCGTTGGAGGCGAAGATTGACGCTGATCGGCAGAGGCAGGAGCACATGTTTTAGTGGATGCAAAATCTCGGCGCGAAGATGGGTGAACCTCTGCCACAAGCGCTATTCCTTCCTCCTCCTCGTCCTGAAGACACTCCTGTGAGTACATCTATCCTCAGTGCCGATTAGTCTTTAGCAATGGGAATGATGGGGTGATTTGCATCAAAGGTTACTCAGCTTGTTAATTTGCAGTTTGCAGAGCTGCTAGTTCACTTCTGCCCCTTTTGCTTACCTTGGTTTGGGTGTTGTTCCGTGTTCACTGCAGCAGCTCTTGCTGCTTTACCTCTTAACATGTACAACTGTAGATAAAACTTGAAAAGTCACACTAATTAAGGATTGGAGCTTTATCGCCTGCTACCTGCATACATTTGTCTTCGTTTGGCCTTCTAGGCTTCTACCTCGTCTCGCTTAATTTGGTTGCGTGTACTGATGGAACCACTGGGGGATCTGGAGTAGGTCTGGGTTACGGCCTATGCCGAAGAGCTTCAGCAGCTCTAGATTTTAAAAACAGTTTCAGTTCATAAAATCCAGCCAAACATTTTTTTATCGGAATCCTGCCAAACGTCTTGCCTCCACGTAATCCAGATCCAAAAAACTGAATTTAGAGGTCAAATCCATGAATTAAATGGATCTCCTCACGGAGTATGGCCGGAGTCTGCCTAGAAGTGCCTCACAGAGTTACAGATTGTTCACACCTGCCTAGAAGTGCGTCCATCCAGATATGTGTGTAATCTGTAGCCAATGGATCGTTATCGATCCGGCAGTGTGTGTAGACTAAACTACAAGCTCATGCAGAAAACGTGGACCATGGACAGTGAACAGTGAGCACAGGCACAGATCGAGCCCCGTCCATGTGCCGCTGAGAGCTAGCTGCCCGCAACGCAACGGCCGGAATTCACGGGAGTGCACGGCACGCACGTCGTGGTGCAGTGCGCTACGTATGGCAAGTAGAGCGAGGCTGGAGCTAGCGCTGTTATTCTTATTCATTTGCACCTGTGTCAGGCATGTTCGTCACCCATCTGTTGGTTCTGTAACTTCTACTGGGCAGTTGGGCTGGGAAAGTGAGCTTCCAGCGCTGTCACCTGCATCGGCGAAGGAGGATTGGAAGATGGAAACCAGATCAGTTTGTCTCTCCTTCCGTTTTTTATCTGGAGCAAACACGCAAGTGGGTCGCACAGTTGCAATGATCGGATCTGCCTTGGGCACGCAGCCAAGCATCAGCAGCGCATGGGAAACTAGACTTGTCACTGCTATGGACATGGAACGGGAGCAAGAAAACCATATTCTTGGTGCAGTTGTTTGTTCGCTTCTCCTTTCAGATCTAAGGCCACTTAGTAGTTTCAGTGCAAGTAGACGCTTGGTCTGGATGGCTGGATTAGTTTATACCGATCATGATCATGTTGCATGTTCCTGTCTACCGTTGTTTTTTTCCCACCCTGTGCTGAGGACCTTGTGAATCCATTTTTTAATATCGTCAGTAAACAGGAATCTCTCTTGCAGCGGCCACTTGTTCATAACGTAGAGTACGTAGCAGTCAGTAGTCGCCCTACTAGATGCTAGCCTAGCTAGGACTAGGTAGGTACTCCTCCTACTGGCTACAAACGTAGTACAGCGGAGCAATTGCGTTTTACCAGCCAAGCCATTCATATCATTTTTGTCACCCAAAAGTAGCCCTGTCATTCTACAACTTTCAACCTCTTAATTAATACAAGCTACTCAATGTTATCTTCACTATTATAAGCGTAATTAATTACTACTTTCAGTATAAAATCGTGAAATTAGCAACGGAAAAAAGTTACTATTGAAGTTCATTCACTATGACAGATCTAATCATGAGTCCATGACAAGATCGTGCTGATATGCATGACAGACGTCTCTAAGGAGACTAAAAGTTTCTTCTGACAGATCAATGGAAGTTTAACCAATCGATTAGCTTCTCCAGAGAATTAATCTTATCTATTCTTTGTGCAGGGTCAATCGGCGGCATCAAACGATGTACCTCAAGACCCACCGCAGCAGTCGCCGTGGTCTCATTGTTGATTTGCTTCTTTTCATGTGTTGAACTTATTCCTTGTGTTGCACTTATGCTTGTAATGCACTTGTGGTGGATACTTTAAACTCGAACCTTATGTTGGTATTGTGGTATGACATTTGTGTACCATTGTGGATTATTGTGACATATGTGATATGTGGTGTGTGGAGATGATATATATATGTGATATATGTGCTGTGAAACATATCTGTGCTGTGAAACATATCTGTGCTGTGATATATATATATGTGCTGTGAAATGTAATGCAAAAACAAAAAAAAAAATCAGATTTCTGAGGCTTTGCCGAGTGTTATGACCAAGACACTCGGCAAAGCAAACACAATTTGCCGAGTGTTATCACCAAGAAACTCGGCGAAAAGCTATTTTTAAAAAAAACAAATACTGTTTGAAAAATCTTTGCCGAGTGTCTTACAGTGCCACACTCGGCATATATTTACCATTTGCCGAGTGCAACACTCGGCGAAAAGGATTTAAAAAAAAACAAATACTGTTTGAAAAATGTTTGCCGAGTATCTTACAGTGCGACACTCGGCATATGTTTATCATTTGCCGAGCGCAGCACTCGGCGAAAAGGGATTCTAAAAGCCAAAAAATATTTTTAAAAAAATAGTTGCCGAGTGCCTTGCCGTTTGACACTCGGCGAAGTAACTGTTAACGGCGGGTCCGGCGTTATGACCGTTTACTTTCGCCGAGAGCTAAACTGCACACGGCAAAATGTTTGCCGAGTGCCCGATAAATGGCACTCGGCAAAGTTGGCTTTGCCGGTACTATTTATGGCGAGTGCTATTCGCCGAGTGTGGCACTCGGCGACCAGTTTGCCGAGTGTTTTACGTAGTTTGCCGAGTGTTTCGGGCACTCGGCAAACTTAAGGAGTCCGGTAGTGTATAACCGTTTGCACGATCCAGCAAGTGCGGCCTGCCCAGTCCAAATTTTCATTTCGTGGCAGCAGCTGAAGGATCACATCACATGAATTAATATTGGATATGCCATTGCCACGTGTTTGCCAGAGTAATTCAATTCCCTGTTGAGCAAATCATTCCTTGTGAGCACGCGCGCGTATATCCTTTCTTGTAGCTGTCTAGCCATTCGATACACCTTTGACAAACTTAAAATTCTATCTTGCTCTGATGCTCTCCTTGTTAGTGTAATCTCTGTACTCTACAGCCAAAAGTAATTTATTTGCCATCGACTCCACCAATAATATGTATATATATATATATATATATATATATATATATATATATATAGAGAGAGAGAGAGAGAGAGAGAACTACTATCCTGTAGCTGGCTACAAAATAACTTATTCTGTAACCACTTTGAGTTAAGATAATTACTATATTAATTTACTAAGTGGTTTACTATAACGTTATGGTAAATATCTCCATGTGTTATAGTAACCCAACTATCGTAAATATGTATTGACATTATCGTAAATTAGTGTATAAAATTATTGTTAATGGAGGTGGCTACAGAATAACTTATTTTGTAGTCGGCTACTGAATAGCCTCAAAGTTATTTTGTAGCCAGCTACAGGATAAATTACTATAATCTCGTAAATTAACATAGTAATTATCGTAACTCAAAGTGGCTACAGAATAAGTTATTTTGTAGCCAGGATAGTAGTTATATATATATATATATATATATATATATATATATATAGAAAAACCAAAACGATCGACTTTCAACTTAGTACAGAGCTGGGGTGATGGGAGTACATAACACAGTAACAAGCAAGCAAGGCTTTGAAGGCTATATGTATGTACTACTATAATACTCCCAAGTACAGCTAGCTTAGTATGGTTAGGATTAAGAGTTTGGTTTTTTCGAAGGTGCCTACCCGGGAAGGCATCTTTTTAGCTGTAGATGCTGGTCCTCGAGATTGGTGCAAGTGGGATGAGTATATGGTAGTACGTATTTTGGGTCCTGTACTCTTGTATACGGCAGCCCTCGTTTCTCTCTCATCAATCTCTCTCCGTCTCTCGCAAGATGTTCCTTGCTGCTTGCAAAATGGTCCCCGGCGGCCTGGCCGCAGCGACGAAGCCAAAAAAAAATTTAGGAGGGACTGAACAAAAGAGTAGAGGTCTTTTTATCTTCTCTTAACCTTAGCCCCTCCTACTAAATACATATATGCATAAAATTTTAAGAGAGGACTTAGGGGGGCTCCACGTGCCCAGGATCGATAGGGGGGGCTGAAGCCCCCCTAGCCCCACCGCTGGCTTCGTCACTGCCTGGCCGGCCGGTGCCGGTGCCGCATCAGTCCACCAGGTTAACATACAATAATTATCATCAACAAAATTTTCATCATCAATAAAACCAGTCAACTCTCCATAAATAACCCCAGCTGTTTGGTTCAAGGGCATGCTTAAGCCTGCAACTAATTAAAAACTCTAATTCCTATCATATTGCTGCTCTGGCATGACCATAAAGGGCTTGAATGTGAGCACAAGTCCAAGAAACTCGACGACGCTCAGGAGAAAGAATACCATCTGATCACCTGTATGTGGATTGATTGTGGAATCAGAAGAAAATTGGAAGTAGAGTGATAATCCTAGAGTACAGCAGCAGCAACCATAATGAGAAGTAGTGACTAAAATATCCAAAGGAGTTAATATAGCCTGTGAATGCATCAAAAAGATAAAACTTGACCTGGAAAGAAGAAAGCCTGCTGGCGTCTCTGTGCCCAGGAAAACCTGCATTTGAAATTTTGCATGTATTAGTAAGTCATGAGGATACCAAAATGCCTAAGCATGTTTGGCAGTGCTTTGGGATTAAGTACTAGAAATCCAAGATTATTCTAACTGAGACCTAATGAAAAATTAAATATCTCACAGAAGTGGCGAGTAACTAAAGTATATACTACTCACACAATGCCAGCCCCAGCAGGAGCGACTGCCTTGAATAAGGACATTACTGTCATGGACAATCCATTTGCAGCTCCTCTTTGATCTTGAGGCTGAATAATTGCACAGAGATCAGTCAATATCATACTTGTAGGATACAACAACAAAATGGTATTGAAATTGATTTGAACTTATATGCACATACCACAGCGTTATTTTGAAGGATGAAAGTGCTTGTGACGATAGTAATCTGATACAACATGTCATGGATAAACTTATTAACATGAGGTGCAAAAATCCAAAGTGATCTCCAAGTTTATATGAGTCTATAAGTCCATTATAATAATGCAACCACTCCTGATAACAGCAGATTTATTTTCTATCTAGAATACATAAGAAAGAAATGTCATAAATGGACAAAATTTGTTCTGAAAATATCAAGGCGATGGAGAAAAGAAAATACTCACACCAAGATTATTTTTTTAATACTGATGCAATATTCAAAATGATGGATAGTCCAGTTCCTGAGAGATATGTCATATAGGGATATGCAAAGAGAAGAGGTATGCACAGAATCTGCAAGATCATGCACCACATAAGACATGCAGCCAAATGAGTTAAACTTATCAGCAGAACTACAGTTTTTACTCACAGCTGCAATTCGAGAAGACTTGATAGCAGGTCCAAGAATTTTATTAATCCAAGGATATACAGAGAGTTGATATATAATAAGACTGACACCTGGAGATGCAAGAGGCAGATACTGTGATTTGCCAGTGTTGATATAAAAATAAATAGAGAAGGTCATGTGTAAATAGCAGTGCCCTTGAGAAGAAAAGTACAATAGCTAGGGAAGACTTTGAATACTCTAGCTTGGGGTAAAATTAACAGTTCACGTCCACTATTGATAATCATGGACAGCTACAATTGTCAAAGTTTATAGTAGCATAGTTTTAAAATATACTTCTGGGAAACTATGTGTGATGCCGGTTATTTCCTAGCACCTTAAGTTGTGATAGAATAACCAGCACACACACAATACAATACTGGTAACACTGATAAAAGTACCAAAATAATAAGTCTTACCTGTTATTGAAAGCACTTGACCCACATCCTGAGATGATAAGCTAAGGCCACCATACTTCTTGTCACTTTCAGCCCATAAAGAGAAGACCTAAAGTCATAGTATTTAGTTCTCATAACCCAAAGTTAGTACATTAAGTAGTATAACAACGTAGCCACTACCAGACAATCATTGTCGGTTGCTTTGGTTGTACCAGCAGTGATAGGTGGACTTTCACTCCGGTTTGTGGCTACAACCAACAGTGATAGACAGTGTACTATCATTGCCGGTTGTAGCCATGAATTAGTAGTGAAAGTCCACATATATCACTACCAGTTTGTAGCTTAAACCGTCAATTGATAAACTGTTTTTGCAAAAAAAAAATCTTTTCATATGAGGTCAAATCAAAATAAACTTTTGACCAAAATTGTAGAGTTCAAAGAGAACTAAAACTGTGTAGTTGAGAACATTTTAATTAAGATATAGTTTACATGTACAAATATTCAATATAAATTCTCAGATCAAATTTGAGATGGTTAACAATGTCGAATGGATACAAAGTCAACATCAAAGTTGTAGTACTCAACGAGATGTACAACTTTGCAGATAATAACTTATTCATTTGAGATCATTTAGAGTGTCAAATATATAATATAAGATTTGTAAATTTGTCGTTAAAAGAATAGCGGTAGTGTTATATAACCTGTATTGTCACAAAGTGTTGCATAGCTCAGCTGGTATGGACACTCGAGATAATCTAGTGTAGTGAATATTTATCATTGGCTACCATAAGTTGATTTTTCTTTTGCTTCTACATGTTTTTTGAGGTAATCGATTGTGTGGTTACAAGTGTTGTTGTATATATAGTTACAAATTATATAGTTGTAATCTCTGGTTGTAGGCTTTCATTTATTCATAATTGTAAGGTAATACAAACAATTCCACTTAAAATTGATTTAAATACTTAAAAATAAATATTATGTTGGCCCGAATGTAAAAATAATTCAAGAGCACAATTAGTTGTAGAAAAATCCAAATGAACTATCTCTCCGCAGCAAGTAACCATCTGACAATAATATCAGGAGTAGGTTATATTTTCAGATATTAAGTCCATCTATACAAAAACAAGTTTATACAATGTATGAAATACGTCTACTAGTCATATTTTTTTATCTAATACATGTTTGGAGAATATATAAGTAACAGACATAACATTTAAGATTATTTATAAAACCATAAGAAATAAAAAGGTAGAAATATATATACCTCTGTATAAGCCATATCATGAATGGAGAAGACACAATACATAATTATGGATGACATCAATGGCCAATTCTTGAACAAACTCTTCTTGCCATCCAAGCTAGAAAGTTTTTCAACCTTCTCGTTGGAGTCAATCAGATGGGCCTCCAAAGCTTCAACTATTTTATTTTCATTTTCATGAACTTTATGCTTGTGTAGTGTCTCCTAAAAATATTTCAAGGTACTTTACTATATAATGTGGAAGAATAAATTTGAGGGACAAAAGTCAACATCTTATGGATGGAATAATTTAAACCATAAAAATTTCCCTCGTTATTTGACGTATATCATACATCATTATACCACTTATAAAAGGAAAGGACATACCCACTTACCCAGTGCTGAAAGTTCCCACACAAGTTGGAGTATAGGGAAGGGAATTTTTATGCATCCTTATTCTTGTTTATTTTGCAAGGAGGTTGATTCAGACCCTCGACCTTATATGGAACTAAAAAAAGAAAGGTGTCCCCTCACAGAGAAAACAAACAAAGATTGTGCTCGGCCTTAGTACCACGCAGAAGTTGTTCAATGTTGAAATTAACAAATTAGGACCAAACTCTCTTTCTACAATATAGATAGGACTCATGTGTTTTGCAGTGTATCATATATATATTCAGATGATCTTAAATATCAATTATGGCCTGTGGACAGTATATATGTGAATGTTTGATGTGTTAGATTGTGCAATATAGATTGGAGAATAGAAGCATTTAGAAGATTTGTGTGCAAGCACAATCATGAGCACGGAAACTATAGCAATCTAACATACCGGCATCCATATGCAGCTTGCAAGAACAACAGTAGCAAAGAGTGATGTGCACAAACAGGGTAAGAAATACCGGAACATGTCAAGTTTCCACCAAATGTGAGTATTACAGATAGCAAGAAGTATCTAGTTTCGATAAAAGAAAGAATACCTTCCAAAGAATGAGTCTGGTGAAAAGATGCCTGGAAATTTTTCTGCAGGCTGGCATACAAGAATTGTGTTACGGTTTCTAATAAAGCATAGCCTAAAATTGTTACATTCTATACTATACCAGTGCGAGGTAGCCTCCAAGAGCAGGTCCAATGATCAGACCTATCCACCAAGCAGTGCTGACCTACAATTACAAGAAATTGAACTTTAGAAATAAAAACAGATACAACAAGTGTAACATCCTAAAATTTGCATTCTTTTAAAATAGTTAAATTTGATTTATTTATGTAATTATGTGTGCATTCAAATATAGGAAAAATAATATTTTTTGTGCAATTAAAATCAATCTTAAGGATAGATACATGTTGATGCACTCATGCTGTAGCATTTTATTTAGTTGAGTGGTTTGATCCAAAACTCAAAATGATTCCAAAAACTATTTGAAAATGAAGTTGTAAAATTGTTTTGGAAAAAGAAAAGCCAATTCTTTGTCCCTCCCTCTCTTTCTCTCATTCGGCCTGCTGGCCCATCTTTCCCCCGCCGGGCCGCTCGCCCACCTTCCCTTCCTTCCCTTTCTCCCCTTTCTCTTCCTGGGCCGGCCCAACTCGAGCAGGGCAACCGTTGCTGCCCTCCTCACTCTCTCTGCCGCTGACCGCCTGGGCCCGCTTGTCGGTGCCGTCGCCCACCTCCCGCGTCGCGCGCGGTCAAGGCGAAACCTCCGCTGCCACGCCCGCCCCTCACGTCGTGGGAGCGTCCCCGCGTCCCAGCCTCTATAAAGGGGAGCGCAGACCCCGTCGCCACCCTCCCTGCTACAGTTCCACCTCGCTAGAACTCGCAGAGCCGCAACCGCCGCACAGAGACGTGTCGGGATCCACCGAGCTCGGAAACCGCCGTGCCGTCCGCATTTCTTGCCGCACGCCGTCTCCGTTCATCTTCGACTTCGTTTTTCATCTGCGGTGAGACCCCCTTGTTCTCATCCTTCTCCCCGTGCCTTTAACTTCGCGAATAATGACCTCTAGGGCCCAATTCGCGTGCGCCTGGGACCTTCGCGTCGCCGGCCATGGCGACCACCCCGCCGACCGCGTCCCCCGGCCGTGCTAGGCCCCGAGATCGACTCTCCCTCGTCCCCGCTTACTTCCTGTGCTACTGGTTCATCAAATCGTGGCCCGTAGACCTTGATCCGCATGCGTCGCCGAGCTTTCTCGCCGCGGCCATGGCAGCGCCGCCCTGCCGGAGCACTGTTCCGGCCGCCAGTTTTTCCTCTCCCCCTTTCTCCTAATCTGAGCCGTCCATCCTTGATCCAATGGCCCAGGATGGCCGATACCTCTTCGCGTGGCAGAATTACTTAAGAGCCCCTCGGCTTTATTCTTTTTACACCCGCAGTCCTCGGCCAGATGAAAATCCTGATTTTTCAGATTTATTTGAATTCAAAAATAGTTCATTCTATTTACAGAAATGCCACTACATTGTTTTGCTTATAAAATCGTCGTTTTAGCTCCGAATCGACCCGTTCAAATTGCGTTAGGTTCGTAATTAAGTTCTCTACATGTTAATACCACTGTCAAACATGTTTGCAACATTTAAATTTTGAGGTTAGATTTAATTAAATAAATTGCTATAGGAAACCCCGTTTAATTCATAACTTTCGTGTTTTAGCTCCGTTTCTCGTGAACTTCGCGTCTATGTGATCGTAGAGAGACGTAGATTCTTTTTAAGAACCTTTTTATCTTGTTTTTATGCCCTGGTGTACTGTTCTAATCCCATAATTGTTTGCTTTGCATGAATGCCTTTGGAATGCTTGTATGTTGCTTTGTTGGTCGAGTTTAGACGGTGAGGAGAACGTTGGAGACCAAGAGTTCTTTGATGACCAGTAGGGGCAGCCCGAGTTCGTTGAGCAAGGCAAGTATAGCATGGGATCTACCTTGATGTCCTATTCACCATTTATTAATTTCTTATTTGCATGTGTCTAATTTTGATACCCGTAAGGACATCCTAGTGGTTGAGTATCATGTTTCCTTGTCTCCTACGGGTTATATACATATGGGTAGTTTGCTAGCGCTCAATGTAACTGTACATGATCTACATAATGACTAATGGTTCTATAGAACGAAAAGGTAAAATTTGCTTTTAAACAACTGAATTATAGGGCGAAGGAGCAAATGACTTTTGATCATGACGCTCTTGGCCCTCCATAAGGACTTATCTGTCGGTAAAAGTTGGGACTGACAGTGCAATCATGAGGGTCACATGGCTCTGACTTTGGCTCAGTAATAGGACCTTTTCTAGCTTGTTAAAGGTTACCTTTATGGCGCAAAAGGGGCTTGCCACGTTGGGTATAGGGCTGCCTCTATTCCTATGTGTATAGCCACGATGGAGATGTGCCATAGGAAAGGGGGGTTCCTACATCTGCCTGCCGAGGAAACCTAGCGGCCCTAACTTGTTAGAGAAACCTGTGAAATGGCTTCATAGTGTACCCCGCCCGCTCACCTTGGCAGTGTTATGGGAGTAATTAATCCGGGCATATGGGAATCACGACTCACGGTGAAAGTGCACAACCTCTGCAGAGTGTTACAAACTGTTATAACAGCCGTGCTCACGGTCACGAGCGGCCCGGAAAACTCACAGAATAAATGGTTACTTATTGTTGTTCATTTATGATGTTCTACGATGATAATATGATTCAATTGATTCTGATATCTGATCATGTGGGTTTAATTGGAGCTTAAGCATAACTTGATAATAGTTGATGATAAAATCTTGACTTACTAAAAGTGCTAACCACAGTAAACCAGAATCACCCTTTTTGAGCTTTCATAACCCCATGTTATCTTGTTAAGTACGGGAAGTACGTACGCTTGTTTACTTTCAATATTGGATAAAAATCCTGGATGGGTAACAGATGTCAACGGATATGAGGAGTTTCCAGAGGACTTTTAGGCTTGTGGTCAACTAGTTGACCGTCCCTGTGTTGGAGCTACCACGAGAGAGCTACCTTTTTATTTTCCGCTGTGTTGTGTAAGACTATGTGATGGTATTAATCATGATGTAAGATACACCGTGATGATACTTTTTGTAATTTGTCAACTTATGTGTGTGACTAATCCCTAGGCACACATGAGATTTATGCATTCAATTTTATCCTTAAAATTGGGTGTGACAACAAGAGAAGTTCAAATTTCATTCATGTATATTTATATTACAAGTGATAGTCCTAGAGCTTCATGTTCAGGTCCGCAAATTTCAATAGCATACGCCTGCAAAATTTAGCAATAAATTAAAAGGCATCAGCTGACTACATCTCGCATAGAAGCATTGAACAACATGCAAATTTACATACTTTAATTGGCCCAAGCAAACCATTTAAAGCACCAAGGAGAAATCTTGTAGCTATTGCCATCCAATAACTAGTGCTAAGCTCAAACAAGGTATTAAATATGACCCTGCAATATTAACAAGATTTATTAGAGAGTCACCTTATAGAATGAAATACATTATAAGATAGGAATGGAAGAATTAATGCTTTTAGTCAATACTGGTGGAAGCAAAAATATTTACTAACACAGACAAAATGCCAACCATGACTACTGGCTTTCTCCCAATACGATCTGCTGCTATTCCCCAAGCAGTTGAAGTCAAGCATCTACCAAGCATAAATGAAGCGCCTGAAAATGTGTCCACAAGAAAAAGTTCAAAACATCATAACCAACCATCTCGCGTGTGAATCGGACAATTTATGAGGACTAACCTACAAATCCAGCATACAAACCAATATCTTCTGTTCTTTTTGCAGCATGCAAGTCTCTTATCTGAGAAAGAGATAAACTTATTAGCTAAAACAAATATGCACATCGGCGCATATATGTGGAAAGAAATGTGTGAGGGGCTGATAAATTAATATTGACAAATTAATAGTTCTATTACTGAATTATTGATGGAGTAGAACAAAGAAATATCCTTAGGATTCAGGTTAAGAGGAATGATGACATACATACCATGAAGTACAAAAATGGGAATAGTGATGACACCGGCAAAGATGAAGGGTAGGAGAAATATAAGTGTTAATAAATGTAGAGTGAATTTTATGCAAAAGAGAGAAAAAAACATAAGGACCGCTAGAATGATGGTATTCTATAGTCAGCACTGGTCAACAATAATCAGAAAATGACTATCCAGCATGGCAACAAGTAAAGGTGCCCTCCGTCCTGAAATAAAGTGCATTCTGGTCATTCTTAGATAAAATAAGGGAGAGTACAATAGACATGTACCCTTCACTTGACTTCATAATCTATTGAAATCTGATTCTATTCCGCATAATTAAAGGGTGAACTCTCAGTCTCCTTATGCAAAATATGGCAAGTACATATATTACTTTCCTTATACAAATAATCACTTATTTTTGTTTAAGTAAACATTAACTTTTTGTTACCCAAATACACTATGTTTCAAGATAGAGGGAGTACATGGAAAGAGACTATAAATAAAAATAGAAAAACTAGAAGCATACCCCGCGCATTGCCGTGGGATTTTCTTAAAAATAAATCTATATATTGTGTGTATATATATTGAATTTGGTAAAATCTGTAAGCTAATACAAGAAAAAACAATAGAATATTTGATCACTGTACCACCCAAAATTTTTCATTCTTTTAAAATAAGTAAATTTGATTTAATTATGTTATTAAGTGTGCAATCAATTATAGGAAATTAATAATTTTTGGGGAATTAAAATCAATTATATGATTAGCAACTTTTGATGCATACATGCTGCTGCAATATTTATTCATGTGATGATTGTTCTTGAATTAAAGTTCAAATGAATTCAAAAATTATTTGAAAATGCTTTTGGAAAATTTGTTTGGAAAATAAAAAGGAAAAAGGATTTATTCTTTTCTCCTCTCCTTCCTCACTTTCGGCCCACATGGCCCTTTTCCTTTCCCGCGGCCCGTTCACCCTCCTCTCTCCCCTTTCCCCGCTGGCTTGGCAAGATCATTGGGCCCAGCCCTTTTGCTTGGCCCAAGAAGCCCACGCCGCCCAGCTCCCTTCTCCTGGCGCAATCAACATGCGCGCCTCGGCCGCTTCGGCCCAATGAGCCAGCCAGCCCAACCGTAGCGCCTCCTTCGCTCTCACCATTGCCACCCGGGCCACCTGGTCAGCTCTTCCCCACCTTTCCTCCCACATGACCAAGAATCATAGCTGGGTCGAGCCAAGAATCACGCTTCGCTCCTCACAGCGATCGTGGGCGCGTCGCCCGCTCCTCGGCCTCTTTTTAAGAGCCGAGCCCCTCCCACGCGTCCCTCTCTCGCTCCCCGCTCCAATTTCACCCTCGCTCACGCACCGGAGGCCCGAGCAACCGTCGCTCCGAGGTCGTCGGATTCCGCCGTCCGCCTCCGCGCGAACCACCGTCACCGAGCCGCCTCCGCTCCGATTTTTCGCCGTGGTGACCATCGCCGTACTCTCCCCTCTCCTCCCATGCTTTCCGTTTCTCGTTTCTTGGCTTCTCGAGCCCTGGCCGCGAGCTCCGCGAGCCATGGTCGCCGGCCGTGGCGGCCACCGCGCTAGCCGCCATTCCCGGCCGCCGTAACGGCATGGCCGCGACCCCCTTCCTCCCCCGCGTTCCCCGGTGCACTCGGCTTTCCGTTTGGCGAACCCTAGCCCCCCTAACCGAGCCCACCGGTGAGACTTCGCCGCCGGCCATGGCGCCTGGGCGCCTGGGGCACTGTTCCGGCCACCCCCCCCTTGTTCTCCCTCCTCGGTTTATTCTCAACCGCTCATCGCGAGATCAACGGCCAGGATTAGAAGTTACCCCTTCGCGTGGCTGTTTTTCAAAAGAGTCCCTGGACTTTTCTAAGTCCTAACCTGCAGTCCAAGGCGTATTTCCCCGAATGCGCAACCTCGATTGGAAAGCGTAAACTTCACGGTTTAAGTCAAAAATACGTTTTCAGTATTTACAGAAATGCCATTTGAACTGTTTCGCTTATAAAATCGTCGTTTTAGCTCCGAATTGATCCATTCAAATCGTGTTAGCTTCGTAATTTCATAAGCTACATGTTGGAACTACTGTTAGTCAAGTTTGGAACTTTTTAATTTCATGATTAGATTTAATTAAATATATGGCTATAGGAAAACCCGTTTAAATCATAACTTTCGCATTTTAGCTCAGTTTTTCATGAACTTCGCGTTGACGTGATCGTAGCGAGACATAGATTATGTTTACAAACATTTTATCTTGATTTCAATACTGTTGGTGTACTGTTCTAATGATAGGAATGTTTGCTTTGCATGAATGCTTTTGGAATGTTGTATGTTGCTGTGTTGGTCGCGTTCAGACGGTGTGGAAAACGTTGGAGACCAAGAACTCTTCAACGACCAGCAGGACCAGCACGAGTTTGTGAACCAAGGCAAGTATAGCATGGGCCTTCCTTGATGTCCTATTTCACTTTAATCAATTACTCATTTGCATGTGTCTAATTTTGATACCCGTAAGGACAACCTAGTGATTGTTTATCCTGTTCCTTGTCTCCTATGGGTTAAATGCATATGGGTAGATTGCTAGTGCTCTAACTGAACTTGATATACATGTTGATGAATGATACTATGGAACAAAGTGAGTAACATGATTTATAACAACTGTTCCATAGGGCGAAAGTGCAAATGACCTTTGTTCATGTTGCTCCCGGCCCTCCATAAGGACTTATCTGTCGGCAAAAGCTGGGACTGACAGTGCAACCGTGAGGGTCATATGGCTCTGACTTTAGCTCAGTAATAGGATCTTTCCTAGCTAGTTAGAGGTTACCTTTTTGGCGCACATGGGGCTTGCCACGTTGGGTATAGGGCTGCCTCTATTCCTATGAGTATAGCCGCGATGGATATGTGCCATAGGAAAGGGGGGTTCCTACATCTGCCTGTCAAGGAAACCTAGCGGCCCTAACTTGTTAGGGAAACCTATGAAATGGATTCATAGTGTACCCTGCCCGCTCACCTTGGTAGTGACATGGGAGTAATTAACCCGGGCATATGGGGATCACGACTCATGGTGAATGTGCACCACCTCTGCAGAGGGTAACAAATCTGTTATAACAGTACGTGCTCTCACGATTCTGGCGAGCGCCCGTAAAACTCACAGAATAGATGGCTACTTATAATGTTGTTTATACGAGATGATTATGATGATGTCACATGACTCAATTGGATCGGATATATGATCACGTGGGGTTTAAATGGGAGCTTAAGCATAACTTGATAATAGTTGAGGATAAAATCTTGACTTAATAAAAGTGCTAACTGCAGTAAACCAGTGTCAACCTTTTTTAGCTTCATAACCCCATGTTATCTTGTTGAGTACGGGACGTACTTACGCTTATTTACTTTCTATATTTGGATAAAAATCCCAGATAGGTAACAGATGACAACGGATATGAGGAGTTTCCTGAGGATTATTAGGCTTGTGGTCAACCAGTCGACCGTCCCTGTGATGGAGTTCCACGAGAGAGTTATCTTTTTATCTTCCGCTGTGTTATGTAAGACAATGTGATGCTATTATTCGTTATGTATGTGACACCGTGATGATACTTTTTATAATTTGTCAACTTATGTGTGTGACTGATCCCTGGGCACACATGAGTTTAGTGCATTCAATTTTATCCTTAAAATTGGGTGTGACAAATTGGTATCAGAGCAGTGTTGACTGTAGGACGCAAGCCTAGTTAGAAACTGGTCGTTTTAAGGTTTAGATGTTGCTACAAAAACCCTTGCTCTATGAACCTTGATATTTTCTTCTATACTATATCTCTACCTTTGATATTCATCTCTACCTTGGTGCTTATTTTAAAGTCTTTGTTCTCATCTTCACTCCTTTATCTGATATGCTTTTAGAACTTCTCCTTACCACCTTCTTGCGTAATCCTAAGATGAGTCTTCAGATTGTTACCCCTAGCACAATAAAAACGATAGTATCGTAAGTTGAGTCAATGATTGAATTGTGCATCTTTATTGATTGTCGAATTCTCATTATGCTTATAATTGTTTTGAATCTTTGTAATGATTGCAATGATCTTTTTGGGTGTTCCCACAATTTCATTTAGTTTATAGGCCTAAGGTTTAAGGATTAATGAAATAAATAGTCAGGTTTTGGTTTTCTTCTGTTTTCCCTACCCTGTCTTTTTGGAGCAGTCTGCATTCTTCGGGTTATATCTCTGATTTTGGACGATCATAAATCATGAGCAAATTCTAGACAAAAGTGGACTTCAATATCTTTCTCTAAGCGCAAGAATCAGCTTGATAGCTATTTTGATTATGGAGATACGAAAATCACAAGACGATGCATCTGTTCTGTTTGGAATCTAGAGTAGTTTCTGTTGTGTACTGTTTTCAACCAAGTTAACTGCAGAATTTGGAAAAGTGTTATATAAGGAGGTTGTGGAAGGTTTCTTGCCCTTACACAAGAGTATCGTTGGGATGTCAGAACATCTTGATACAAGTTAGCTCATCTAAAAGAAGTAGATGTAAGCTATACTTTGGTGTCCCCTAGTCTATCTTATCTTAAGGGGGTAGCCAAGTTGAAGAATTTGCATGCTGAAGTGTCCTACGTTCTTGTTTGCGCAGTGGAAGCGTGGTGGTACCCAAAGATGTGAGAGAAACTCAGAGTCTCAATGAGGTTTGGTTAAAGGTTCAACGAAGGTTTATCCAAGATCTTAAGATTTTGGTAGAGCTACTGGAGAAGCTTTTAAGTTAGTTTGGATCAAGAATCTACATGACATCTTCACTAAGTTGGTCTTGAATTGGTGATATCCTCGTTGGAATGAAAATTGATTATGACTTGGAAAAGTGCTATCACTTGGAGAAGTAGCTTATCAGTTGGAGCTGCCTGAGAGCTTGTCCGGTGTGCACGACGTGTTCCATGTTTCCCAGTTGAAAAAGTGTCTGAGGGTACCAGAAGAACAAATTCCTTTGGAAGAACTTGCTGTCAAGGAAGATCTTACTTATGAAGAGTATCCGATAAAGATCTTGGAAATTGCCGAAAGAGTTACGAGAAGCCGAACAGTAAAGATGTGCAAGGTGCAGTGGAATCGTTATACAGAGTATGAGGCTACTTGGGAAAGAGAAGAGGATCTGAGAAAGACTTATCCCCAACTGTTTGAGTAAGCAATCACCCGAATCTCGAGGACGAGATTCATCTTAAGGGGGGTAGAATTGTAACACCCAAAATTTTTCATTCTTTTAAAATAAGTAAATTTGATTTAATTATGTTATTAAGTGTGCAATCAATTATAGGAAATTAATAATTTTTGGGGAATTAAAATCAATTATAAGATTAGCAACTTTTTGATGCATACATGCTGCTGCAATATTTATTCATGTGATGATTGTTCTTGAATTAAAGTTCAAATGAATTCAAAAATTATTTGAAAATGCTTTTGGAAAATTTGTTTGGAAAATAAAAAGGAAAAAGGATTTATTCTTTTCTCCTCTCCTTCCTCACTTTCGGCCCACATGGCCTTTTTCCTTTCCCGCGGCCCGTTCACCCTCCTCTCTCCCCTTTCCCCGCTCGGCCCGGCACCGCTGGCCCAGCCGCGCGCTTTGCTCGGCCCAGCAAGCCCCGCCGGCCCAGCTCCCCTTCTCCCTGGCGCAACCGCCGCGCGCCTCGGCCGCTCGGCCCAGCGAGCCACGCCAGCCCAACCGGCGCGCCTCCTTCGCTCTCAGCCGCTGCCAACCGGGCCCGCTGGTCAGCTCTTCCCCCCACCTTCCTCCCGCGCGACCCGCAACCATAGTGGGGTCGAGCCGCAACCGCGCCCGCTCCTCGCGCATCGTGGGCGCGTCGCCCGCTCCTCGGCCTCTTTTTAAGAGCCGAGCCCCTCCCGCGCGTCCCTCTCTCGCTCCCCGCTCCAATTTCGCCCTCGCTCACGCACCGGAGGCCCCAGCAACCGTCGCTCCGAGGTCGTCGGATTCCGCCGTCCGCCTCCGCGTGAACCACCGTCACCGAGCCGCCTCCGCTCCGATTTTTCGCCGTGGTGAGCATCGCCGTACTCTCCCCTCTCCTCCCATGCTTTCCGTTTCTCGTTTCTTGGCTTCTCGAGCCCTGGCCGCGAGCTCCGCGAGCCGTGGTCGCCGGCCGTGGCGGCCACCGCGCTAGCCGCCGTTCCCGGCCGCCGTAACGGCATGGCCGCGACCCCCTTCCTCCCTCGCGTTCCCCGGTGCACTCGGCTTTCCATTTGGCGAACCCTAGCCCCCCTAACTGAGCTCACCGGTGAGACTTCGCCGCCGGCCATGGCGCCTGGGCGCCTGGGGCACTGTTCTAGCCAGCCCCCCCCCTTGTTCTCCCTCCTCGGTTTATTCTCAACCGCTCATCGCGAGATCAACGGCCAGGATTAGAAGTTACCCCTTCGCGTGGCTGTTTTTCAAAAGAGTCCCTGGACTTTTCTAAGTCCTAACCAGCAGTCCAAGGCGTATTTCCCCGAATGCGCAACCTCGATTGGAAAGCGTAAACTTCACGGTTTAAGTCAAAAATACGTTTTCAGTATTTACAGAAATGCCATTTGAACTGTTTCGCTTATAAAATCGTAGTTTTAGCTCCGAATTGATCCATTCAAATCGTGTTAGCTTCGTAATTTCATAAGCTACATGTTGGAACTACTGTTAGTCAAGTTTGAAACTTTTTAATTTCATGATTAGATTTAATTAAATATATGGCTACAGGAAAACCCGTTTAAATCATAACTTTCGCATTTTAGCTCCGTTTTTCGTGAACTTCGCGTTGACGTAATCGTAGCGAGACGTAGATTATGTTTACAAATATTTTATCTTGATTTCAATACTGTTGGTGTACTGTTCTAATGATAGGAATGTTTGCTTTGCATGAATGCTTTTGGAATGTTGTATGTTGCTGTGTTGGTCGCGTTCAGACGGTGAGGAAAACGTTGGAGACCAAGAACTTTTCGACGACCAGCAGGACCAGCACGAGTTTGTGAACCAAGGCAAGTATAGCATGGGCTTTCCTTGATGTCCTATTTCACTTTAATCAATTACTCATTTGCATGTGTCTAATTTTGATACCCGTAAGGACAACCTAGTGATTGTTTATCCTGTTCCTTGTCTCCTATGGGTTAAATGCATATGGGTAGATTGCTAGTGCTCTAACTGAACTTGATATACATGTTGATGAATGATACTATGGAACAAAGTGAGTAACATGATTTATAACAACTGTTCCATAGGGCGAAAGTGCAAATGACCTTTGTCCATGTTGCTCCCGGCCCTCCATAAGGACTTATCTGTCGGCAAAAGCTGGGACTGACAGTGCAACCGTGAGGGTCATATGGCTCTGACTTTAGCTCAGTAATAGGATCTTTCCTAGCTAGTTAGAGGTTACCTTTTTGGCGCAAATGGGGCTTGCCACGTTGGGTATAGGGCTGCCTCTATTCCTATGAGTATAGCCGCGATGGATATGTGCCATAGGAAAGGGGGGTTCCTACATCTGCCTGCCAAGGAAACCTAGCGGCCCTAACTTGTTAGGGAAACCTATGAAATGGATTCATAGTGTACCCTGCCCGCTCACCTTGGTAGTGACATGGGAGTAATTAACCCGGGCATATGGGGATCACGACTCGCGGTGAATGTGCACCACCTCTGCAGAGGGTAACAAACTGTTATAACAGCCGTGCTCACGGTTACGAGCGGCCCAGAAAACTCACAGAATAGATGGCTACTTATAATGTTGTTTATACGAGATGATTATGATGATGTCACATGACTCAATTGGATCGGATATATGATCACGTGGGGTTTAAATGGGAGCTTAAGCATAACTTGATAATAGTTGAGGATAAAATCTTGACTTAATAAAAGTGCTAACTGCAGTAAACCAGTGTCAACCTTTTTGAGCTTCATAACCCCATGTTATCTTGTTGAGTACGGGACGTACTTACGCTTGTTTACTTTCTATATTTGGATAAAAATCCCGGATGGGTAATAGATGACAACGGATATGAGGAGTTTCCTGAGGATTATTAGGCTTGTGGTCAACCAGTCGACCGTCCCTGTGATTGAGTTCCACGAGAGAGTTATCTTTTTATCTTCCGCTGTGTTATGTATGACAATGTGATGCTATTATTCGTTATGTATGTGACACCATGATGATACTTTTTATAATTTGTCAACTTATGTGTGTGACTGATCCCTGGGCACACATGAGTTTAGTGCATTCAATTTTATCCTTAAAGTTGGGTGTGACAATCACATTATAGAATAATAGGTGATGAAACAAATAGCATATGTAAATGTTAATATATTAGAGATTAAAAGTATTGCACATAATAGAGATGGTGTGGATATTTTTTTGTAATTAATAAGGAATGACATGGCTAATAGAAGACAAAACCAATAGAATATTTGATCACATTATAGAAGAATAGGTGATGAAACAAATAGCATTGGTAAATGACTTTATGTTAATAGATTAGAGATTAAAAGTATTGCACATAATAGAGATGATGTTGATATTTTTTGTAATTAATAAAGATGACAGAGATAGCTTGCATGAAAGGATTGCAAGTTAGTGGGACACTTAGTAAGGGATAACATGGCTAATAGAAGAAAAACCAAAAGAATATTTGATCATATTATAGAAGAATAGGTGATGAAACAAATAGCATTGGTAAATGACTTTATGTTAATAGATTAGAGATTAAAAGTATTGCACGTAATAGAGATGATGTTGACATTGGATAGCTTGCATGAAAGGATTGCAAGTTAGTGGGACACTTAGTGAGGAATGATGTGGACACCTTGCATGAAGAGATAAAACATCTAGTGGGGTTTAGCTTCATAGGAGTATATATAGATATAAAGCCTATTTTTTTGCAAAAATCAAAAAAAAAGTATCGCTAAGTGTTTCTAAGATTATTTTAGATCATCTCCAAGAGACTCTATATTCTTTCTAAATGCTAGGAATAGAGATTTTGGTGAAAAACAACTCTCTAACAGCTTCTCCAAATGGTTATCCAAATATAGCCATCTTCTATTCCGGATTTTTCACTAGTCAAAAATAGACGATGAGAATGGCTCTCTAGACTGAGCACGAGATATAGAAACTATGTTGGAGAGTGAAAAGATATAGAAAACGATTTTTATGCACATGACTCTCTAAATGATGATTTAGAGAGTGAGATTTACAAAGGCTCTTAGAGATGCTCTTAGAGTGCTTTTTGTGCATAGATTTTTATTATAATAACAGTGTCCTCCAGATGGCTCTTACTAGTACCCTTGACATATATAGTAATAACCTCTTCCTCGATCTGGTTCATCTGAATGTCTAATAACCACCCAATTCCTCTAAACTTTTGACCGCGAAAAGGAAAAAAAACTTTCCTAGAATATCAAGAGATATACAAACCAGAATATTTTTTTTCCATTATCATCTTATAGAAGAAAATCCAAGCAGGTTGGGAGGACGGAATTCCAATCCATAGCAGTAGAAAGGCAGATGATCCAGACATACAAGAACTCCTTGTATGGCATCCCCTCCTGGAGGTCCTTCTTCTGGTCGTAAGGGCAGCCCGAGCACCCCGGATGGTACTTCTTCTCCAGCAACGGCGAACTGCTGCTCTCCTCCATTGGCGGCGACAAATGTAATCCTCAACTCTGACGAGCTTTTTGCTCTGACGGAACAAGAAGAGGAGGACGTGCTGTTACACCCTCTTTTTTTTATACAGATAGAAAATTATATAGGTGTCTGATCCGTCCTGTGCTAGTGCTGTATATTATGGTGTTGAGTTCCCAGCTGTCAAGATGGCCAAGAAGAAGACGACGACGGCTAGGTACTGGAGGAAGAAGCCAAATGGTACTGCACTGCGCCGTTGTGATGGCTTGGGTGACCCATGCCGCGCCAAAGTAATTGCGTCATGCGTTGCGTCATCGCCACAGAGAGAAAGAGAAACATGGGAATGGACGGCCGGCGTCGGCGGCGCCAAGGAACGACAAGCGCAGGCGAGACAAATATGGGGGTATTTGGAATTTGGATGAATGGGTTAAACAAATAGCTGATCTGTTTGCATGCTAAATAGGAGAGGGCTAAATATGCACTACCGGAGACCGGCTCTTCGTCGAGTGCCAGGTGGTTTGCCAAGTGTTGTTTTTCGGGCATTCGGCAAAGACGCCTTTGCCGAGTGTTTTTTTTGACACTCGGCAAAGACGCTCTTTGCCGAGTGTTTTTTTAACACTAGGCAAAGAGTCTCTTTGCCGAGTGTTTCTTTTTGACACTCGGCAAAGAGCTTCTTTGCCGAGTGTTTTTTTTACACTCGGCAAAGAAAATTTCAAAGCACATTTTAAAGCAGTAAATTAATTCAAATGAAAAAGTTTTCAACTACAAAGTTGTATAACTCATAAAGATGTACAACGTTTGTTTTAGTCTTTTCTTCATACGACAAAGTGAAAATAAATTTGTTTACAAATCTAACATCTCTCTTTTAGTTTATGAAACTACAAGAGAGATATATAAGATTTGTGAACAATGTTAGAACGACCATGTCGGATGAACAGATGACCAAACAACCAAAATAAATTTTGTAGATCTCGAAAAGTTATGAAACTTTATAATTGGCAACTTTTTGATTTGAAACATCTTGTCATGCAAAACTGCGTTTGAATTTCAAAATTTTAAAATTCAAATTTTGTAAATGACCTCGGATGGAAAAACTTCCGAAACTAAAAGTGTAGATCTCGAAAAGTTATGAAACATTGTAGTTGACAACTTTTTGATTTGAAAACATCTTGTCATGCAAAACTGTGTTTGAATTCCAAAATTTTAAAATTCAAATTTTGTAAACGACCTCGGATGGAAAAACTTCCTAAACTAAAAGTGTAGATCTCAAAAAGTTATGAAACTTTGTAGTTTACAACTTTTTGATTTGAAAACATCTTGTCATGCAAAACTATGTTTGAATTTTAAATTTTAAAATTCAAATTTTGTAAACAACCTCGGATGGAAAAACTTCCTAAACTAAAAGTGTAGATCTCGAAAAGTTATAAAACTTTGTAGTTTACAACGTTTTTATTTAAATTCGTTTAGGGCCTCAAACATGCAATTTACACTCGATTTAGTATAATATATTGGGAACTAAAACGGAATCCAGACACAAGTGAGAGTGTGGTGTAGTGGTAGTGGAGGTACGTGCACAGCGGGAGGTCTCGGGTTCGAATCGCGTCGGCCACGTAGCCATGAAATTCACGCGAAAAATGTCGTAGATTGGTGGGCGCTGGCCGGTGGGGGCCTCCATCGATAAAAAAAAATTCCATTTTTTTTTGGGTAAAAATTCCCATTTTTTTGGGTTTTTTTCGGTTTCAACTTTGCCGAGTGTCGGGTACTCGGCAAAGGCTTTGCCGAGTGCCTGATAAAAGACACTCGGCAAAGTTGGCTTTGCCGTCACTGTTTTTGGCGAGTGCTGTTCGCCGAGTGTTACACTCGGCGAACCATTTACCGAGTGTTTTATGTCTTTTGCCGAGTGTTTCGGGCACTCGGCAAACTCAAGGAGTCCGGTAGTGATGAGCTAATAATAATAAGTGCTAGTTGAGATTAATCGGTGGTTAGATCCCATTAGCTCATAATTAGCCCATATTTAGTTTATATTATTATAATGAGGGCTTATTTTTAGTCTTGGGATCAAACACCCCTATAGTGAGAGACCGGTGCAGGTGAGGTGTAGATTTAGCAAGGAAGTCCGGATGCATCTGTAACAATTGTTGTTTTCATCTCAACTTGTGAGGTGTAGATTTTATTATTAAGGAATATGAGTTTTACTAGGACCACACCATGCTAATTGTCCTAGTCAACAAAAAAAGTTAGACTCCTATTACAACTCTTAGTATTAAAAATGATAATGATACCCTCATGGCGTCCGGAAGGACGCACGCGGCGCTTTCTTGGCCTGCGCGCTACCGGCCCAACATCGCTTGCTCTCTACGGCTCCTCTATCTCTCTCTCAAAAATATTTCCTCTACTCCTCACCAAGGGTCATCCTCTCCACTCCACTCGTTCACGGCTCCTCTATCCCTCTCAAAAATATCTCCTCCACTCCCCACCGAGGGTCATGCTCTCCACTCCGCTCATTCCATGGCCAAGGCACACTACTCAGCATCCCTGGCCACGCGTGTGCTTCACTCTGTCGTAGGCGGGCCCCACACCTTCCTCATAATCATGTGGCCTCATGGTATACTGCTGCGGTGCTCGTGCCCTGCACAATGCGTGCTAGCCCTGCCCGCGTGGGTCCACGCCGAGCCAGCTGCATGTGCTCACCCCTGCCCTCCTACTCGCCAAGGGTGCTCGCGGCCTTGCGTAGGTGGTGCTCGCCCATGCAGTGCTCGCCACTCCGCTGCCGGTGAACTCCATGCGTAGCCACCGACCTCTGCGTTGACGTCGAGCTCCATTTGTCCAAGCCGCAAGGCGATATTGCGCTAAAAGCGCATGTTGCAAGCGTATGTTTCAAGTGTTTCAGAGGTATGTTGCAAGTGTTTCAGATGGATATTGGAAAAGTAGATTGGGATGTTGGATATGTTGCAATGGTTGTACACGTATATTGCAAAGGTGTGTTCCCAATGTTTCATCTATGTTTTTAGACGTATGCTTCAAGTGTTTTATATGGATGTTGCATATGTTTCACATATAAGTTGTAAGTGTTTCATCTGGATGTTGCATATGTTTTGTAATGGTTACACACGTGTTTTTCGATGTTTCAGACGTATGTTGAAAGTGTTTCAACTGTTTCGGATATGTATTGCAAGTGTTTCATCTAGATATTGTGAAAGTAGATCTGGTGTTGCACATGTTGTAGTGGGACCCATCTGCCGCAACCGCTTACTGTGTTGGGCCCGCCTGCATGCGAGTGGGTGTGGAGGGGGTGCGAGTGGCAGGCGCAGGAAATGGTGCGGCCATAGATTGAGATACGGCCCCCGTGTGGGCACATGTAGGCGCAGGAAACGGAGCGGCGCGGGCCCCCACGTGAAGTAGGCGTAGGCGCGCGCAGCAGCATGACCTATGCGGGGGCGCGAGCAGGCACAGCAGGCGTAGGCGTCCGGACGCTAGCCCCCGTCCGGACAGTCCAGACGTCCGAGCGCTAGCCTAACCGTATTAAAAATGACATGTCGCCTACGATACAAATAAAATAGGAAAAAGTCAATATAATCTTGGATTATTGTTGTTGTTCTACTTCATCTTCTAACTTACAAAACCAGGTATTCTAGTTCTACCATCTCACATATCCAAAATTGTTTAATCTAACCGCTCGGTGGTTTCGATCGGTGGTTTTGGGTCTCTGGCACAAGTAGGGCCCACATATTAGAACCGTCATGGCTTATAGGGTAAAAAGTGCTCGTGAAAGGCTAAAATTATGGGTTATATTTGCAAAGTGACCATGCTTCGGTTGGATTGAAGGCATCTAAGAGTTTTAGCGGGTTATTTGTGAAAACACCAACTGACAAAGAAATGAAGATAAGAGGGGATGTTTTAGGACAGAACCAATATGCCAAAGATGAATTGTATATGATGCTTTGAGCGCCACATGTAGATCTCTCCAATGCGCAAGAGGACTATGCATTTTTGTATTAAGATAGAAGAATTGAAGGTCTACACGACGTGGCGTGGTCAACCATTTGCTAAATTTGAAACGACACTCTATACGGCGAAATGAACAACCATCGAATTGCCAATCTATAAGGAGATTGGGCAATCATCAAACTACCTAGATAGTCGTTCCTAGCTCTGATCCATTGCTTAGCGTCGTACTTGGGCCGTATTCGCTTGAACAGTACTTTTCAGCATGGCTTTTCAGCGAAACGATCAGGGCCTTGATCACCTGCAGCAATGATTGGAGCATTGTCGATATCTTCCTGAAGCACATGGCGTTCCTCTCCTTCCAGATGCTCTAGGTGATCAAGGAAAATAAGAAGTCGAGCCCGTGTCACTTGTCTGGTTTCCAACTGTGTAGTAACTTATACCACTAGTCAAAGCAGGGAAGCACATCCGTCTGCTTTGGGGCACGGAAAGCCAAGCTTGGAACAGATGAACCACCAAACCTAAAATGTTATGGAACACATGACCAAGTGGTGGTCGCAGGTTTCCTCCACTGGATCACACAAGTGACACAATGGGTGGGGATCTAGTCCATTGTCTAGAGTGCTTGCGCGTGACTAAGAGTCAAAAGAAGATCTTCACCTGAAGTGGTCCCCAACACTTCCAAATCAGGTCATGGCCCCAGAATTGCATGGCTCTAATTAGGGCAACTCCAGTGTCGTTGTCGAACCGTGTGATTCGATGAAGACGAACAAGAGCCAAGTTCGCTCTCTCCAGTGTGTGCATCGCTTTGTGGGATCCAGATGAAACTAAAGAATTGTTTTTTTATCCAAGCAGTGCGGCGGTTGACAAGCGCAGGGGAGCTGTTTGGCATCCGGAAAGATTTCTTATTGCCCCTAACCGTCTGCAGAATGCGATTTCGTTTCTGACAACCAACGTCCGCATGCTCTAGTGCTTGGTTTGTTTTTTTTCTTCCCCCGGTTCGATTCTAGCAAACACTCGAGGTGTTCTTAGGTGAAGCACCCGCAACAGCCGCACTGAGGTGGTCACA